CAACAGCATATTCAAACGCCTGGTTGTGAGGAGAAAGATGTCTTTCCCAAATGCTAGTCCAGTATGGCCAGCGGGGACCAGCTTGGTGGAAAGAGTTGATCCCAATGGGGATACGAGACAGTGCTCAGGGTTGGGAACCTGGACATTAACAGGTTTTCAAATTGGGTCATCTCTCCTTCCTGGGTGTAGGGTACCAGGGCTGCCTCCCCATGGCGGGAAGAGTCATTGTGGTTTTTCTCTCTCCAGCCCAGAACCCCCTCCTCACACCTAAAACAGCATTTTGGGATCCACATCTCTGCCAGGGCTCTCCATGCCCAGAGGTCTAACTGGACTCTTCCCAGCCTGATTCCTGCAGCCCTGGAACCCACCTGGTCTGGCCTCTCTGCATCCATCTTCCTCAACCTCAGCCCAGGGTCCTTCCACCTAAACAATGTGGCAGCCCATCTGCCCCCCTCCAGCCTCTCCTAGCCTCTCCTCTTCCCTGCTGGAGGCCCATTTGTGCCTGTCACCCTGCCAGGTCGTAATAGAATCTACCACCTTCCCATTGCTCCTTGAGAAGACCAAAGTCCTGGCCATGGCCTGTCTCTGTCACAAGCCCCTTGCTAAGTTCAGGCCTCCTCAGGGATTGTCCCCAACTTCCATCCCTTGGGTCTCAGCTGGGAAGAGCCATCTAGACATAACCCCATCCACTCTAGGTGGTACGCCAGGAGGCCTGGGACCTGGAACCGTGGTTTTTGCCTCCTGGGAAGTGACATTTCTTTGGTTGAGTATGGGCTTGGCTTTCTGAGCTTTGGGGGAAGGAGAATGGACTCCCTGGACCCCAGGTGGTTCCCAGGCTTCGGGCCTAGGGAACACTCGGTGAATGAATGAATGAGTGAATGAATGACTTATGTATGACAACCAAGTTGCAAGTCTGGAAAGGAAGCTCAGGCGCCTGCCAGGGGCGATGGGGAGCTCTCAAAGGTGGGGGCAGGAGAGCAGAAGACTGAGAGATCGGGTTAGGGGCGCTCCCAGAGCCGCCGGACTAGCAGTGCAGCGGCAGACCAGCGAGAGCCCTGGAGTCTAACCAGCTCCCTCTTTGGGGCAGGGCTGGGACCGGCAGGCCTGGCGGCGGGCACCGAGCCGGCCGCGGCCGCGCTCCAGCCAACAGGAAGAGAAGGAGTGAGGCCAGGCGAGGCGGGCCAGCTGGCCCGCGGAGAGTCCCCGGCGTGGGCGTGGGGAGCGGGGGAACACCCACGGGCGCCTCCTCCGCCCGGTTGTGTATGGGGGGCGCCGCCCCCGGGCCTCGGCGTCTTCCTTCGCAAAGTGGGGGCCCCTGCGGGGACTGGCTTGCGTGCTAACGGCAAGAGGGAGGCGAAGTGTGCCCAAGAGGGCAGAGAGGCCAGGAGGCTGACCCTCACAGAGCGAGGCGGAGAGACCGGGTACCCCGACTCCCAGCAAGCCGGGGCGGGGCCTCGGAGGGGCGGACCCTCTTGGGGGAGGGGCGGACTCTCTCGAGGACGGGGCGGGGCTGGGCCGGCACCTGGGCGAGGTCGCGCCGCCCCGCCCCGCCCCCTTGCACTTCCGTGTGCCGCGGCGCCCGAGCGAGAGGCGGCAGCCCAGAACCCCCGAGCGACCCCGGCATCCGCCCGCCGCGCCGAGAGCCGAGCTGTACCTCCCTGGCCGCTGGGCCCGTCCCCATCGGGCCCGCGCCGACCCCCGTCCGCGCGCGCGCCCCGGAGCCGCGCGGGGAGCCGGACCCCGCCGCCGCGACCCTCGGCTCCTGGCCCTGGGCCCAGAGGTGAGTGAGAACCGGGCCCGAGCTCGGGATCAGCGCTACCCCGAGGGCGCGCCGTCCTCCCTGCCTCCTCCCCGCTCCGGTCCCCGTTTCCCGTTTCTGAAACTGAGAAACTGAGCTGCGGCCAGTGAAAGTCCCGCCGTACGCCGAGACTCGCCGGTGCCTCTGTCCCTTCGTCCGTCCGTCCCACCATTCAACAGTGGGGGCTGAGACCCTTTCGTCCGACAGCTCCCAGCCCCTCTGCCCACCTGTGTGTCCCCCGCTCCTCCGAGGAGTCTGTGCGTCCTTTCCGAATCTCTCCGAGGCCCCGTGTCGGTCCGTCTGTTCCCACCCCCTCTGTGTTCCCCTGTCCGCCTCTCGCCAGACCCGCTTCGTCTGTCCCTCGCCCTCGGCGTGTTCCATCGCCCCACCCCCACCCAGCCGCCCCCTTGATCCTGTCCTCCCGGAGCCGCGCCCCCGGCCCACGCTCGCCTCCCCCTGCCTGTCCAGCCTCCTCTCGTTTTCTACCGCCGGCCGAGGCCGAGCCGCCCGCCGGGCCTCGCCTCCCTCCCCTCCCTCCCCTGGGTCCCAGCCGGCCCGACCTGCGCGGCGCCTCCTCCTCGCTCTCTCTTTCAGTCTTGGAGTCTTTCTCCGTCTCTCGATCGGTCTCTGGGCTGGGCGTGGTTCCTGTCTCAACCATCTTCCTTTCCGCCCCTCCGCCCCTCCGAGACCCCTGCCCTGGTGGCCCCGTCTGGTGCGGTCTTTCCCTGCCCCCTAATCCAGATGCCTCCCCCCGTGGGGGGCCCAGACAGTGTAGGGGAGGAGATGGAGGGGAGCACCCTCCTGACTGGTGGTGGAGAGGTAGGAGGTGAACATCAGCACTGCTCCCACTTCCCCAAAAGAGCCCCCCTGAACCCGTATCTAAACTGGGACAGAAGGATTTGGTACGAATTGGGGTGCCCTACCCTGTATGCAGCGACCCTGTCTTCTTGTGCTGAGTTGCCTGTATCTTGGCTTGTGGGTATGTTGTGTGTCTGTGTCTCCTGTGTTCTTTGGCACTGTGGGACTTGCCCCTGTGCGTGCACATTCTTTTTCACGTGTGTGACTTGCTTGTATGTATGTGCGTCTGCTTGTGTGTCCTGAGGCTCTGTGTGGGTCCTTTGCAACTGTGTGTGTACCATAGCTTGGTGTGTTCTTTGTCCCCTCTGTGTGTGTGTGTGTGTGTGTGTGTATCTTTGCCTGCCCGTACGTGTGTCCCTGTGTGTCTGGAAGGTTCAGTGTTGCACACTGGGTGTATCATGGTGACCAGCTGGCCATGAATACATTAGATCCGTTAATTGTGGGAGCCCCTGGTGTTGGGATCCCAGCTCACCAGGCTAATGTGTGAAAGTATCTATGAGTGTGTTTATGTGTGTGCACTCACATGTGGTTCTTCCTCTCCCTCCGCCACCGAGCTGCTGTGACCAGACAGACCTGGTCACCAAGGGAGAGGACTGGTCCCTTGGGTTTCCTCATTCCTGATGTTGACCAAGCTGGGGTGTGGCAGGCAGGCCGGCAGAGGGCAACTGTGTGGCATGCATGTGTGTGGTTGTGTGTGTGAGGTGTGGAGGTGTCTGAGTGGCTGTACGTGGCAGTGTGGGGCCACGGTGGGAGTGTATGACTGGTGGCAGACACACTCTGACTGTATGAAACTGCCAGGGTGTGCTTGGGGAGTGACTGTGATTGTGGGGAACTGAGAGTGCTTGGGCGTGGGTGTCAGCAGCAGGAGGGGGTGTGACAAGGTGTGTGGTGACCGTGCGGAGCAGGAAGGTGAGAGCCCGGTGTGTGTGTGAGCACGTGGGACACTGTGAGGGTGTGGTGTGCACGCAGCACCCTGGGGAGGCGGTGAGAGCCAGAGGGCAAGTCTTGGGGTTTGTAGTGTTATGACCAAGACCTCAGGCTCTGGGCCAAGACAAACCTGGGCTCAAATACTTGCTGTGCTGATTAAGAGTGGGAGACCCAAGCTAGGCCGAGTTATCTGCAGCATGGAAAGTTGCTGTGAGGACTAGAGGTCCAGTGTCACAGATCCTTTAGCACAGCACTGGCCCATAGTGAGAGCACAGCACATGCTGTCTTATTTGGTGACCACACCCCAGCTGTATGGTCCCCATTCTCCTGGGAGCTGGGGCTAATGAAAGCCCAGAGAGTCCCCAACCCAGTTTTCTGCCTATGATGTGTCTGTTGCCCCCGTCATCCCCTTGACCAGGATGCTTTGGGAGGGAGGGAGTGCTGACAGAGCCCCCAAGACCCAGCCCTGTTCAGCCCACGTGACAATCCCTTCCCCGCCAGGGGGAAAGAGGGGTGAGGGGTGATTTGGAGCTGTGACTTCAGGGCACTGACACCGTTTAGCTGGTACAGCTAATTGGAGTTTAAATTAAAATTAGAAATAATTTAAAGTACAGCCAAAAAAAAATAATAAAGCCTGAGGATGCCTTTGTCCCCAGGGAGTGGTGATGTGGGGTCCTCAGCTGGGAGAGGGGCTGACATCTGGGGAGGAGAATCATTTATGGAGGCCTGGTCTGGCCTGCAGAGAAAATGCTCAGACCTTTCAGCCAGGAAACCCAGGGCACCTCGCTGCCTGTGCCATTCCTTCCTTCCAGGGTCTATTCAGGTGTCAGTTTTTACAGCTGTATAATGGGCACAATAGTGATGTAAGAATCATCTGAACTGTAAGGTTCAAAACAAGGGATAAAAAAATGTCGCTATTCATTTGGCACTCTTGTGAGTCCAGCACAGGAGCTGGCACGCCACATCACTGGAGACTTGGAACCACCTGGGGAGAGGGATGCTAGTATTCTCCCCATTTTAGAAACTGAGGCTCAGAGGAATTGCCCCAGGCCATAAAGTGCCCAATTTCTTCCTAGGACTCCTGAGCCTGCGGGGCAGCCTCCCATAGGCAGGAAGGTCGGAAACGGCTTTTTGCTCTGTCTATTGGCCTACTCGCCAAGCTGGAAATGTTCTGAGGGCAGGGACACAGAGTTCTCCACCTCTACCATGGAGTGGACACATAGCCGGTACCCAGGAAAAGTTGGGCCTGACACCCCATTTCTAGAGAAGAGAAAGCCAAGTCCAGAGAGCCTGAGGTCTTAGGGCCAGGTGAGACAGAACTGGGCTGTGTCAGCCGTGCTGAGCTGGGCTGATGGGGAGAGACTATTTGGCAATCCCTCCCAGCACAGCTGTTTTCTTCTGTTCTTACAGGTCTACTGGGAACTGGCCCAGGCCAGGAGGGCAGGTTTCTTTCTCCTGGTGGTTGGTGTGTGGTAGTGACAGCAGCAGAGAGGACAAAGGACAAGCAGGAGCCGGGAGCCCCAGGTAGGACTGAGTCCTCTTCGACAGGTGGACAGTGTGAGCAGTGGCTTTCCTCTTTGAGCTCCTCCCCTTCCACTGTGGGGCCAGATGGGGGTGGGGGACGTGCATGCACAGTCCTTGATCTGGTTGTGGGGCCTGGGTCCCCAGAGGTGGCAGCCGTTTGCCCTGCCTAGGAGGGGCTCCCTGCCCACGAGGAGCTCCCTGCCTGGAACCTGACCCTGGCCCAGGGAAGGCTTTGGCCTTGGAGCTCAGAGGACTGGGGCCCACCAGCAGTTTGGAGCAATAAGTGCTGACACTTTTTTGGTCAATTAGAGAGAAGATGGCATGCGAGCCAAGGATTGAGGGTGGATGTATCAGCTTTTCCATGGCCCCTTGTATCTGCCTCAAACTGTCCTCATCATTACACAAGGACACTGAGGTTCACCCTGGGCCCCACAACGGAGTGGATGCTGCACGGGGAATGGAACGGGGTCCCCAGCTCCTGGCATAGCTGAGCTCTTTTCTGTGCCCCAGTTCCGCTCCATCTCCCTAGCCTATCTGGAACCTGAGCAGGGGCTCTACACCCCTCTTTCCAGACTCCAGGTTCAGCGGGGAGCTGGGTAGAGTCTCTAAGGAGTGCTGGGGAAGACTGAAGTCTCTCTGAGGCCCCTCATAAAGCTAGAAATCCCTCCTTTTGGGGCCAGCCTTGCCCTCTTTAGCCCCTATTACAATGAAAATACTGCTGTGAGTTACTCACTGGATGTCTGGGGCCCCAGGGAGCAGGTTTCTAGGGGCGGGGTGGGTGCTGAGGAAACCTGGAACCTGGCAGTGACAGTAAGGGGATGGCAAAGATGGTCTTTCCTCCAGGAGTCCTCCCCAATCACCCCCCCATGCCCACCCCTGCGGGCCGTCAGGCACCTATAGGTCTCGGGGGTGACGGTGAGCAGGCCTGAGAGGGCTGGGCTCCCTGGGCCTGAGTCTGGGCAGGGGAGGAGGTCAGGGCCCTTACCCCTGGAGTGGCAGCAGGGGCAGAATGAGAGCAGGGTCTTGGCTGGGTGTCGTGGATCATGCCTGTAATCCCAGCACTTTGGGAGGCTGAGGCAGGAGGATCACTTGAGGCCAGGAGTTTGAGACCAGCCTGGGAAACATAGCAAGACCATGCCTCTACAAAAAAATAAAAAATTAGCCAGTCGATCATGGTGGCATGCACCTATAGTCCCAGCTACTCAGGATGTTCGGGCAGGAGGATCGCTTGAGCCCAGGAGTTCTGAAGCTGCAGTGAGCTATGATTGTGCCACTGCGCTCCAGCCTGGGCAGCAGAGCGAGACCCTATCTCTTAAAAAACAAAAACAACAAAAGAGCAGGGTCTTCACTGGGCCTTCTGTTTATTCAGCCTACCCCCAAACCTGGTGGGGAGGAGGTGAAGTGCCCTTGGCTGTCTGAGGGCCTCTGCCACCTGAGTTCAGGGGAGCTGGCCTTCCTGGCACTCAGTGTCGTTCCTTAAGGAGTGCAATTAGCCTTGGAGCCAGCCTGCTTTCAACCCTCAAACATCACTTCCCTGGCAGGCACAGACATGCATGTGCTCACACAGGGCTACAGAAAGCCAGGCCACACTGGGCATGCATACCTGCACACGCACCACACACATGGGCACACAGGTACACAGGTACTTACATGCACCCACCCACAGACACACCGAAACACATGCACAGATGCTTACCTTGTTACCGTTGGCATCCATGAATTTAGACACCTGCCCACGCACACACCACACTGTGCCCATTCTGGGTCAGGAAGGGGGGCCCAGGCACCTGAGGGTGAGGGTCCAGGTGTGACTGTGGTCACAGGGACTCAAAGTGGGTGGGCCACACTGGGAAGTGAGCTCTGCCCAGGCACTCAACAGCTACCCTGCCAACCTGGCCCAGGGCCCCAGGTTGACCAGGGCTTGGCATTGGAGATAAGGAGGTGGGGGAACATGGGGTGGAGGGGCCATATGAACTGCAGTGACACTGTGTGTGGCTGTTGCCACAGAGGAGGAAGTAGTCATGGGCCTGAAGTGCTCATAAGGAGGGTAGGGGTCCTGTCAACTCCTCTGTCTTGTAGCGTCCATGCCTGGAGAGAGTGGGGTTGCTGGGCTCTGGGGACTGGGAAGCAGGCAGAGAGGGTACTCTTCTCCTGGAGTGGTCTGTCCACTTTTCAAGGCCTGGGCCCAGGGAAGAGGCCTGTCTGTCCGAGTCGTTTCCGGAGGCTCACTTCCTCTGGGCTGCCCAGGAAGTGGTTTCAGAGTGGGACTGACCATCCCTCTGCATGTCGCCTGCCCCACCCCTGCCTTGCCTGCCCAGGGAGCAGCGTCTGGCCAGGGGGTTAGGCTGACCGACCAGGCTTTTTTCCTGCCAGAGCTGCCCAGGCCTTGTTGCAGGCTCTAGGAGAGGGGAAGGGGCTGAGGCCGTGACATCCCCTGTAGCCCCCAAAAGCCTGGCTCCTTCCTGCTCGGGGCCTGTAGGCCTCGGCTCAGGAGTTCCGGCTCTGGTGCGCACGCCCCTGGGAGTGGTGACGGCTGGGCTGCATCTCAGGGACTAGGCAGCTCCAAGAGCTATGTGAATGAGCCTGGCAAGTGGCTTTGCCACTCAGTGCCTCAGGTGTCCCCTCTGACAAATGAGATGATGATGGCATCCATCTTCATGAGATTGTGCTGGAAATAACAGTTACTGTATGCAAAGTAGCTAGCACCACTAGCACCATGCTTGGCACATTGTTAGTGTTTAGTGAGCAGAAACTGTAGTTATATAAAGCACTTAGTGCCTGGTTGACGGTAACTATTCAAAAAATAGCAAGTGGCACCGATGAGGGGGTTACTATTGTCACAGTGTCGCAGGGCCAGGAGGCTGCAGAGCCCACCTGATGGAGAAGCCAGGTCTCTGGCTCTCTCCTCCCCCTCGATTCTTCCTCCAGTGGCAATGCCAGAAGGTGGGGAGGGCCTGTGACTTCAGTAGGTTCCATGTCCTCTGAGGAGAAGAGCTCCCAGGGGCACAGCCCCTGCCTGCGCTTCTCCCTCCACTCCCTTTCAAAGGAAGAAAAACAGATCCTGTGACAAATGCATGTGGGGAAGGGAAGGCAGTCTGCAGCCGCCTGCTGCCCCCAGGGCTCCCTTGGCCCTTGGCCGCTCTGGCCTCCTGCAGGGTTTTGGAGATGGGCTGGGGGTAAGGAGTGGGTGGTGAGCCTTCCTGCCAGCCCGCCTGTCCTTCTGGAGTCAGCCTTTGGTCTGGGGGAGGGGACAGGCATCTGGGATGATGAAGAGTGGGGAGAGCCAGCAATCCCCTCTACGCATGTCCTTGACACGTGGTGGCTGGGGACAGGGGCCTGCCTGTCCCAGGGACATGCAGAAGGTCAGCCCAGTGAGGGTTGGGCGAGCATTCGCCTTCACTATTTGGGGCCAGGAGGCTGGGGGTGTGGCGTGCTGGGAGCAGTAATGACAGTGGTGGGGGTGGGCGAGGCCTGGGCTGAGTGTGGGGCGTCCTGAGGTTTAGGAGGAGCAGGGCTTCTGCGGGCATCAGACAGAGTGGGTTGAAGCCCTGCTCCATGCTCACTGGCTGTGTGCCCTGGAGCCGGGGATGGGACTGCTCCTTGGTTGCCTCATCTGTGAAAAGGGCAGATCGAGGAGTGTCCTGTGAGACCCCAGTGATGGGAAGCAGCCTCATGTGGGATGGAGGTGGGGCAGGAGGGCAGAACAGCAAGCACTGAGGCTCCTAAGCTGGAAGGAACTGGCTGTTCAGGGAACTGAAAGGGGTCAGTGTGGCTGGGGCACAGGAGTGGGGAGGGCAGCCCTGAGGTCAGGGAGGTAGTGGGAGCAGGCTGTGGGGGAGGCCAGGGGAGGGGTCTGAGCTTATCAGAGGGGCAGTTGGAGACCGCTGTGCTCTTGGGCAGGGGTTGACAAGATCTGCTTTACCGTCTTAAAAGCCCCGTCTGGTGACTGGAGCCAAGGGACTGTGGGGCCAGAGTAGAGGATGGGGAGCAGTGAGAGGCAGGCGCAGAGCCCAGGGACATGGTGGTGGCCAGGATAGGGCAGGAGGTGGAAGAAGAGAGGACATGCAGACAGACTGCACATGCAGAGGCTGGCAGCGTGATGGTCTTGCTGTGTGTAGAGGGGTCCCTGGGGAGGGAGCGCTGTGGGCTGCCATGGCAGTTTGAGCACCTGTGGTGTCATTCATGTGGTGACTTTGGGAGGCAGGTGGGGCCATGAGCCTAGAGTTCAGGAGGGTCTGGGCCGAAGGTGGAGAACTGAGGGTTTAAAGCCAGGCCTGGGGAGGAGAGGGCTCAGCAGGCCTTCACTGGGGAAGTCTGAGAGGCCCCAGGCGCAGGGCTGGGGAGATTGTCCCTCGAAGGTCCCTGCCAAGGCACCTAGGAGGACAAGCTTGCAGTGGCTGAGCCGCTGTTTTCACAACAGCCCCGGAAGCTTTGGATCATGTCTATGGCCATGTTGGGTAAACAGGTAGAGCAGAGCAGCCAGTCGCCAAGGCCCAAGGCCGGATCAGATATCTGGTGGTGTGGGCTGTGGGCCAGGGTTGAGGGTGGGAGGAGGCTCTCAGGGTTCTCCAGTATCGGGGCTGGAGAAACCTTAGAAGTCTCCATTGTCCAGACGGAGTGTGGAGCCCTGAGAGGGGCAGCAGTGGGCCAGGCTCTGCCAGTGGGCTCAGGCCACTTCACTCAGCCCAGGCTCTTCCCAAAGCAGCAGGCCGCACAGGGCACCCCACAGCGGGGTGGCTTGAGCCTCTTTTCCCACTGATCCAAGGAAGTCTGGAGGCCCCTATGGCAGCTGGAGGAGGGTGGTAGGGCAGGTGGGGAGAGGGCCAGGTGTGAGATGACAGTGGTGATGTGGACAATGGTGACAGCTTCCATGTGCCAGGCCCTGTGCTTAGCACAACCCCCTGGGCAGGGCATAGTCATTCCCATATTAGAGATGAGACACCTGAGCAGCTTGGCCAAGTTCTCGGGGCACCCAGGGCACCAGCTCTGAACTAGCTCTC